ATATTATAAGGACATGCATAATATTTATGAGCTTTGAGTGTTGCCCCTATGTTCATGTATGGTGACAGGGTTACAAGACTGCATTTCATTCAGGAAGAGAAGAACATACATAACTAATTCCATATTCCTCCTGTAAAATGAATCTTAACATCTACTGAACACATTAGTTAAAGTCAGTTATCTATGCAGTTCGATGATATACATGGTTAACTAATGTCCTGAAACTATTTGAAGATAAGAAATTATGTCCTGAACACCGCAGGATGGACGAGTGCATGCGCTGTATTCTACTCCATCCATTTACACTGATGCAAAACATGCATCAAATGAATCTTGGCCACTCAAACGCGATGATTATTTCCCGTAAGTTATCGATACTCACTAAAATGATAAGAGTTCATTCTTTACTCCCTAATGCTATTGCATATTGCAGATATGCTGATTCAACAAATGCTTACTGGACTGGGTATTTTACTAGCCGTCCAACTTTCAAGGGATATGTTCGAATGCTCAGTGGATATTACCTGGTATAATATATTTTTAATACAAACCTACAACCACAGAATTGTGGTGATTAAAAATCATGTATTTAAGTTAAAAGTGGCTAATTATAGGAAATGGCCTTTTCTAACAGGCTGCACGTCAAATAGAATTTCTTGTGGGAGGATCATTCACTTCTAGCTTGGAAGACCCACTGGGAATCGCCCAGCATCATGATGCCGTCTCAGGAACAGCAAAACAACACACAACTGATGATTACTCGAAACGCCTTGCTCTCGGAGCATCTCAGGTTTATAATTTTCTCTTGCAGAAATGCTTCAGTGAAAATGCTCTTCCAGTTTTTCATACAAAATTATGGAGTGGCTATTCACATCTTGTAGGTTGAGAAAGGTGTAAATACTGCTCTGGCTTGTCTGACAAGCTCTAAGGGAACATGTATGTCTCCAGCAGTAAAGTTCAGTCAGGTGAGTTAGGATGGACTTTATTTTCTGTAATAGTATTTATGATTATCACATTCTGTTTGTACATATATGTCGACATCACCTTTCTTCATCTCGAAAGGAAACACGACAGTATGATCTTATTTAACATTAATTATTTGGCTCTGTTTTAGCACAGCACATTACTCTTTACACATAGCCTAGTTTGTTCGCCGAATATGTTTACGTGATCTAACAGTTCCATTGGCAAATAATTTTTTTAGTGCCAACTGCTCAATATAAGCTACTGCCCTTCAACTGAGGAACAAATTTCAGGAGGAAAGGGTTTAGTAAGTACTATCTGTTTTAACGTAATGTTTGCCAGTTATGATGTTGCACATACTTAGAATATCTTCTGCAGGTTATAACTGCTTATAATCCTCTTGGGTGGGAACATAGTGACTTCATACGGGTTCCGGTATGCGTCTAAACCTATATTGTGCACTTTTATCCAATAGATTTTGGTTCTCTGTAACAGAACAATGCAGATGAAGTGTATCGAGGCTCACTAGGAGATAAATATGCACTCAATTATTTCAAACCTTTTGGTACTTTATGACATATGGAAAGAAATATGCCGTCAAGGCTTGTACCTGTTTTTAATCCTAGGTTCTTGAGCTAATTTACTTGTACATACCCATAATTATTTTCCCTTTTCAGGTCAATGACTTACACCTAGTCGTAAAAAGCTCTGATGGAAGTTTTGTCGATTCACAACTAGTTGAGGTAGATAATGTGACTAGCAATTTAAGGAAGTTGTATGTGAAGGCTTATCTCGGAATCAATACAGACAAACCCCCGAAATATTGGCTAGTGTTTCAAGCTTCTGTGCCACCAATGGGATGGAATACTTATTTCGTCTCAAAGCCCAAGGGAGCAGGTGAAAATTGCATCTGCTTAAGATATTCTATTCCGGTTTATATTCTTTTGATAAAATTGTGAATTTCCCACTAGGAAGAGCTGCTTGATTTTATTCTTGTTAGATCAAAGAAACTTTTGTTTATGTACAATGTAGTGATGATATAATATATTTCTGGTGAAGGTGATGAACTGGATAACAGGGTATTACAAGAGAGTATATTCTTACTCTGTTTTTCTTCATATGTACAGATAATATGGCATGCGATGTATGCTTCAGTTCTCTTCAGATTAATAATGAGCTTTCAAATTATTTTTGTTATCTTCACTAACATCAACGTTAATCACTAAGCAGAAATTTATGGTTCTTTCAAGTGCAACACACTACAAATATGATTAGTGATTACATTCTTTGCTACGTCAATATGAAAAATCTGGGTTTCATCTGAGTGTTTATTATTAATTTATTTATTCGTTTTACATCATTTACCATTGAACTATCCAGGATCTAACAGAATGGGGTATGTCTCAACCATCGCTTCTCCAAGCAAAGACACAGTTGAAGTTGGACCAGGGTCTCTAAAGATGACATTTTCGTCAGCATCTGGACAACTTACGCGGATGTTCAATTCTATCACAGGAGTGAGTCCTAACACATTCTGGTTCTGCTATAAAAAGTAAATTGATTTGCGTCCAGTAAAATTTCACAAATAGTTAAGTATAAAAGATAAATTAAAGACTGTTATTTATCAATATGTATGTGCATATGCAAAATTAGATCAGAAAACAGTTTTTTTTCAGTTTATATGTTCAAATTTGAGTGATCATAGTGCGGTTGCTGGTAGGTATCATTGTGAGAATTGGTGTTTGCTAGATAGGTTGGCATATAGGCACTAGCCAAAAGAAAAAAAAAATAGTGCCGGCATGGTGGCCACCTTGTTGGAGACACGCTTGTTCAGCTCCAGCCAGAGCGATCACATGCAGAGGATGATCTGGAAGAATCTACTACTGACCTAACCCTGATTACTCAAAAGTAGATAAAAGTAAAAGACAATATTCTTCTCTGCTTTATTGAGAGGGGTCGGCCCCTTTATATAATAGACAAGACTTTAGCAAAACTGAAATTGAAACTCTAATACAATCTCTAAACTGACTGGACTCTTTCCTAACAAAGATGCTTAATCAACTAGGACTGGAATTCCACCCAAAAAAACTAGGACTGTAAATAAGGGATAAGAGTAAGACTCCACATTTGATGGACTGGTCCACATAACATGATCAGCGAGCTCACCTCCTTCCAGCAGTTTGGTGCCACAGCCACGCTAAGCGCCGGCTACCATTCCGCTACAGAGGTTGCAGCCCTAGGAGTGAATCAATCAAGGCGCATCGAAAAGCAGGATGGAGTACCAAAACCTCCCTCGAGAAGGAGCGCTGCAGCAAGATGTGGCTCAGGTCCTCCGGCGCTTGGTCAGAGAGCTGGCAGCAAGGTGGATGGGGGAGAAGCCGCCTGGGAGATGCTACGCCTGCTGATCCACCAATCATGCCAGAAACATAGCCTGGATCTGTGGCCTAGGGACAAGGAACAGGTCCTCTGCTTCGCGGGGAATGGAGATTGACATCCCTTGCTATGGCTTGTCGTGGACTACTTTCTCGAGCCAGCGGCATCTGATGCAAGAGCCTTATTGAGCAGCCGTGGGTTGTGAATGCCGAGGCGCCCCGATGCATGCGGAAAGCAGGCAACGTTCCAGGCAACGAGGTAGTGCCCACCTTCGGCTTCCTCCCCGCCGCGCCAGAAGAAGCCGCAGCGAAACTTGTCGATACACGATACAGTTGATAGACCATGGCGGTTGGTCAAGCGAGACCATCTGATACACCAAGGACGGAGTGAGAACTGAGTTAAGCTTGACTAACCTTCATGCGCGGGTGAGTAGAGGAGCTTTCCACACTGTCAAACGGCCAGTGATCTTGTCGATCAGGGCCTGGAGGTCAGACTTCCGCAGCAGGCCCGACTGTCGAGGACCAGTTGGAGATCGATGGCGTCGCAGCGGATAGGAGAGATAGAGCTCTTCGCAAAGTTGTAATACAAACCTGTCTATGCATTGGTGGTTTGCTTTATTTATAAGCGGGGTGAAAGCCTTTTTCGGTAATGCAAACCTGAAGCCTCCCGAAGCAGGTTTCTCTGCAATGGCATGAACAAACACTACCCTATAATTTACCATTGTTGGCCATTGACCATTTTGTCTAATATTTTGTTACAAAGAATGTTACATCATCTAAAATTCGATTTAGCTTGTACTCCCTCCGTTCCAAATTACTTGTCGTGGTTTTAGTTCAAATTTGAACTAAAACCACGACGAGTAATTTGGAACGGAGGGAGTACCTGGTTTATGCATTCGCATACTTTGCAAGCTAAGCAATATGCCGTGCATAATACATGGTATTGAAAATTATTGCCGGAAGATAATTCTCATAGTCGATCAACATTGCTTTTCCTTACTGCTTTTGTATGCAGAGTTTAAAGAAATTTATTATGTTCGCAAGTTACAGGAGTCCTACCACATGTTTATTCATCCTGATATGCAGTAGCAAAATTTTATATCTATTTTAGGTGGATTTACCAATTCAACAGAGCTTTCTTTGGTATGGTTCAAATAATGGTGATGGCGCGGATTCACAGGTTTCATTATGGAGCTAATTTTTTCTTTATTAAATTATACCTGTTTCACACGTTTATTATTTGTCTGTATATGTTTTAATCCAGGCATCTGGAGCTTATATTTTTAGACCAGATGGGTCTACACCGACTGTTGTTTCAAGATCGGTAATACTAACTTGCATGTTTAAGTTCAATTTTTATCTGTTCATCTATGCACCGTTTAAAATCAGTGTATATTATTAACATTAACTCCAAAATTACTTGTGCTTTATGTATTTTCTGCATTAGTTTATCTTCTCAGCAAACTACAGTTGTTGATCACATACCTCCAAAAGATACAATAAATAGTACTCCCTCCATCCCAAAATAAGTGTCGCTGATTTAGTACAACTTCTTTGCTGATATATTTGTGCAAACTATAGAGCAGATGAAGCCATGGTATCTATTATTGTTCCCTTTTGGTACCTAACATCACAAGACTTGAACTATATAGGTCCAAAAGGCATGATGAACAGTCAAAATATAATCCAGTTAGTCTCTCAGGCTATTATAAAAGATGTGGATTTTGGGGGAAATTTCTGGATGGTTTGATCCCTAGGAGTAGGACTTCCACACCCTTATATATGCAACTCAACATGGGCTTACAACTTGACTCACACATGACCTCTACTAGCTAGTCATGTTTTCCCGTACCATCTCACACACTAACCCACACCCAACAAAGAGATAGCACTTGAGTACTTGGATTACCTTTCTAATGTTACTTGAATAACTTCACTTCTGCATTATTTACTATTTAAAAACTTTAAATACATTTTCTATGTGATCTATTGATTTATGTTTATTCTATATTAGGTACCGTTAAAAGTCATCCGTGGACCTCTGGTTGATGAAGTCCACCAGCAATTCAGCCCGTGGATTTATCAGGTCAGATATAAATTTACTCAAATCGAGGATTAAGATTAATTTTGAGCCTATATTAATAGCATTACATGGAATCTATTTGCTACTCCCTCCGATCCAAAATAAGTGCCGTGGTTTAGTTCATATTTGAACTAAAACCACAACACTAATTTTAGCCTTCTCTGCTGTTGCACTTTTATGTGCTAAGTTTTTCTGAAAAGATAGATGACTATAGGACTTCATGATCTTATATATGACAAATTTTAGATATTATTTAGCTCCAACAACTTAAGGTCACCACGAAAAGAACATATCATGTGGCTAAGGCTAAACTTCTTGATGTCTGGACCCAATGTGCCTCCTGTTCAGGTGAGAAGTAGTGGGTCGTCCAAATTTGTTATGTAATACATGGCCCATCCAAGCATCAAGTTATGAAGAAGATCCCTATGATCTCTCAGTGGAAGCTTTGGTTTCGGCCTTAAGCCATACAAAGATAAGATATACGATTTGTTACTTAGATTTGATTCGGGAAACCCCTATGACGAATAAATCAAGTTATAATAGAAAAACAATTCTTCTATATTACCCGAGGAAAGAGCCTCTTCCAAACTCTAGTACAATAGTTTTTATGATCTCCACTGGGCTTGTCGAGCTCGTCCTTCATCCGCATGACCTCATCACCAGGGCCACCTACGCCATCTTTGCCAATTGCATCATCGCTGAACTTCACCTTAAAAATTGTGCCACTGCCTTGCAAGAGCAGAAGGCGGTCATCACTCGCCATGTCGAGCTAGCAGCCATATCGCATTCTCCAACCCCTTCGAAATTACTTTAGCTGTAATTGTCTTCTAGTACAGTTTCAGTTATGACTTGTCAATCCCTCGTGCCTTCATGTCAACATCTTATTTTTCAGGTGTAATATATTAATTATGATAAAGCTCTCTTTGATTATCTTTTAAAACATTCTATGTCTAGGTTACAAGACTATATAAGGATAAGGAGCATGCTGAAGTAGAATACACGGTTAGTAATTTCCTCTACTTCGGAGAATAAGGGCCTGAATTGTATTTCTCCATTCCAGAAAAAATGATATCCATCATTACTGAACATGCACTGAAGTTTATTTTGTTTTTCCTCTCATATGTGAAAGATTGGGCCAATCCCGGTCAATGATGGCATAGGAAAGGAGGTCATCACAAGACTGACAGCAAATATGGTCACAAACCACACTTTTTATACAGATTCGAATGGAAGGGATTTTCTCAAGAGGGTAACTATCAATATGAGCTATGCTTCAGATATTTGTTACGATCTAATTAATTTCTTTGTACCTTGGTAAAAAATTATCTTACTGTATGAAATATTCTTAAATACGGAATATATCATAAGCCAACCTTCTCATATTTTTCCTGAATTATTTTATGGGTGACTGTTAAGGCCCTACTGAACATCTATCTGATTTAATACGTTTGACTTTTGAATCTCTGTACTCTCCCTTTACACCCACGTTCTTCGTGATTTCATCTATAGGTGAGAGACTACAGGGAAGATTGGGATCTTCAAGTGACTCAACCGGTTGCAGGAAATTACTATCCCGTATGAACATTATTCACATTTTAATACTGAGATACTCTTTGATTTCCAATATATAATAATAATACTTTTAATATAGATAATTCTAAAAGTAGAGCTAGCTATGTCTCTTCTTTGCTTTTTGAAACTTCTGTCAAACTCCTTTTGATTACAAATATTTTGCCTCCATTTCAATATAACAATTACAAAATTATGTACTTAATTATATAATTCTGTCATCAGTAGGCACAAAGCTGGAATAATTTTACACCTGCATATAGCGAAGCCACCAGGGAAAAAAGATGTATAAGAGAGCATTTATTTTCAGGACTATGCATGACACTCCCTCATTTTTGGTTCCCCAAATAAAATTTCCTATTTCATCATGCTTTCGTGGCTGTTGTTGTTATTTAAATAATTCTATTTTCTTACAGATTTTTCTCTCGTGTTGACATTACAGGTCAATCTCGGAATGTATGTAACAGATGGGAAATATGAACTTAGTGTCCTTGTTGATCGTGCTGTTGGAGCTTCAAGCATTCAGGATGGTCAAATAGAAATGATGTTCCACAGGTATTATAGCTTCTATTGCAGTACCATATTTGTGCTGTTTACCAGGATAGACTGATCCAATTCTAGTTGGTTTCTATATCTAACTATGGTAGCATTGTCTTGAAGCTAGCAGACAGCTTGAACTACAAAGAAATGCCAATGTGTCCATTAAAACAGCTAAAAGTAGCAGTTTCTCATCTATCTCTTTTGGAACCACCTATGTTTAAACTTACTATGCAATATACTGTTTAATGTGTATTATTAACTATAGAGATCTTTACCAACTTTGTTATCAACCTATTGAAATCAATCACAAATCTGTGTAATCAATTTCAGCATGCCCTTGTAAGCTCAACCTCTAATCATGATACTGTGCATGTCAGGCGTATACTTCATGATGATGGCAGAGGTGTGGAGGAGCCACTGGATGAAACTGTTTGCGTTGACAGAAAATGTGATGGGCTCGTGGTATACATTCACTCGCAGCATAGTATCCATTTCTATTTCCTCCAGTACCGACCTGACATCGCACCAAGTTCACTATATAAAAATCAACATATACACACAGTAGGACACAGTACTGTTTCCCCTGCAGAAAATTAACTCTGCCTCATACAAACTATTACAGGCTAGGGGTACTTATTATGTCAATGTCAACAAGCTTGGACATGGAGCTCACTGGCGGAGGACACAAGGACAAAAAGTTTATTCACCCTTTCTTCTTGGTTTCGCTCATGAGGTATATTTGTATAGTTCTGTCAGCCTGTTTTCTTAAGTATTTTCATGTCATTATTCCTACCTACAGCTGTAATATTGTTCTTACAGGATGAGAGCAGTTGGAAATCCTACAGTGTTGTGAAAGCGAGCATGATGAATGCAAATTACAGTCTTCCTGATAATGTGGCAATCATCACCTTGCAGGTTCACAATTTATTTATCAATTTCTCAAAAAAAAACTATTTATCTCGGACCTTATATATCTGAATATTGATAGCATCTATTAGTCACTAACAGAGTGTGGATTAATATTTCAGAGTCTCGATGATGGTACCGCACTTCTCCGCTTGGCACATTTGTTTCAGGTATATTCCTACTTTACATAACTGTAGTTTATATCATATTTATTTCTACTTTGTTCACTGAACAATTTTTTGTCCGAGTTGCAGGCTGCGGAGGACCCACAGTACTCAGTGATGGCAAAAGTTGAACTGAAAAAATTGTTTGGAAAGAAAACTGTAAGTAATTTATTGTACTTTATCTCTTTGCATGATAAGAATTTGTTGTAAAAAAAGTTCTGTCGCATGAATTATACTCATGAATATTTTTCCTTTCGGAAAGAGATCTAGCCCGAAATGCTCACTTGCTCAGTGCTGTTCCATTGCGCAGATCAAGGAATGGACTGAAACTAACCTGTCTGCCAACCAAAAGAAGGCGGCGATGAGGAAGCTCAAGTGGAGGGTTGTCGGAGACACCGAAAGTGGTCCTGCCCCAATTACCGGTAGCCCGGTTGACAGTCAATCCCTTGTTGTCGAGCTGGGGCCCATGGAGATACGCACATTCTTGCTGAAACTGTGAGCTGCAAAAAAAGAGATATCTTTATGTAATTCCATACATGTTCTAGGAGATCATTGTGCCTTTCATTTCTGTGAGCAAGTACCTTCTGATAGTTATGTCCTTGTACAGCAATAAATGTGCCCAGTCACAACTTTCCCAGCAAATGTGCCTTCCGTTTCTATGAAGAATGACTTGTGAGCTCCATATTTGGTCCAGTTCCGGCGGGCTGAGCTAAGCTGACCCCGCTGCATATGTACTCTTTGTGGGGGAGTCCCCATTCATGAGAGTTCGTTGGTTGTAGCAATACCTTCATTTTACAATCACCGTTTCAAGATATACGTACTATGCAAAAATCGGTAGGCCGTGGTGATCTAACCTGACCACTCAAGCTGCCATTATCTAATCACTGTGTGTGCTTTGTCCGACAAGTGACAGATGCAGTGTAACGCATTCTGTTCTATCCATATAGTCAGAACAGGGCACAACAGTTACAGCTTTACCGTTTATATACTACTTCGTGTAGGAGTGTTAGCGTTATTATGCAGTCTCGTAGAACAGTCGACTAGAGCGTAGCTCCTGCAAAGAATGTGTTCCTCAAATTCTTGGTCTCTTGACAAAGAATTCCAGACTTCTGATGGGTTCAGCTTTCAACTAACTGCGACGTCATGCATCCTCCCTCTTATCTAACTAATCTTAGGCCCTGTTTGTTTGGGCTCTTACTTTTGCTTTTGCAGCGTTTCCACTTTGGCAAAAAAAAACTCCTAAATAGAGTCTTTTTGCTTCGAATCAGTATTGTTATATGATGGTATAAGCCAAAAGCCGAAGCAAAAATCACCTATTTAGGAGCTTTTTTCGTTTTTTTTTGTCAATGTGAAAAAGATGCAAAAGCAGACGCAAAAGCCCAAACAAATACAGGGACTTAAATATAAAGCTCCTCAGCCGCTCCAGCGTGCCTTAGGCTTGACGACGTTAATGTCGTCCCATTTCAGGCACGACTCACATCCATGCATTCTTGTTTCTTACCCAAGTTCTGTTACTTTAAAGGAAATGGAAAGGCCCCCACAAAAAATGGGAAAAGGATGTTGGACAATCTGTTTTTTTTAGGGAGAGGCCATGATATATCTATCTCCACTATTTTAAAAAGTAGTAGGCCATGATCCGAAAATTCGAATCTGAGCCCAGTCTTAGCTGCACTCGATATAACATCCGTCCACACGCATCGGGATGTGCCCCTTCAGTTGTATTCGCAGCTGTATTCAGAAGGTATCGACATAAACATAACGTAGGCCTCAGTCGCATTAAAAACGGTAGGAGCCGTCTCCTCTCGGCCGGAACAGGCCCTGGCGCACGGCCCAGTTATTTTTGTGTGCCATCCCGAGCCGTCAGGCTTACACGGAAATGCTGATGTTTCTCAAAAAACAGAACACGGAAATGCTGATCCTGCCGCATAATGGCAATTAGCGTCTACTATCAGAGTTGTTTGCATGCTGGGCATATTACAAAGCGTGCGATTGCAAAAAGCGTCCAAAATGTGGCATTGGATGCAGGAAGTGGGTTCAACATTTTCACACGAGTTTGCGTGTGGGGTTTCTGACCTTACAATTTGTAAATCTCATATTGCTGCTGGAGCAAGTGTCGCGTGAGTACAACAACTCTCCTGCAGCAGGAGAATTTTCAATGCGAAAATGTTTCCTTGAGTAAACTCTACTGTTGGATTTTGATGTAGTACAACAACTCTCATACTGTAAGATTTTGCTGTAGTACAACAACTCTCATAACTGATTAAGGAATTTCTGGCTCATTAGATAGGGCGCCTTACATGGGTTCAGGCCTAGATTTTGTGATTTCATTAAGTGCTGACTGGTTTGTCTAAATAGCAAGTAGATGAATACAAGGAGAAGCAAACAAAGGTGGCGATGTGGCCAAAGAGTTTAGGCTATCCCAAGCTGACATTCATACAGACTACACTGAAGGATGAATGTAAAACAATGATTGCTCCTTACATGGATCTAAGAAACAAGCTACAAAGTGAGCGAAACGCCATATACTATGCTGAAATGATTCATACATCTTCAAAATGATGGTCAGCGGAGATCGTAGTAATGCCTAAGATAGTACATTAGGTAAGGCGCACAAGAGAATCGCCTACTTCCAGGACGGCTCTCTCGTAGAAGGTTTTTTTTCTGAAGCAAGAGTCACTAGGTGCTACGACTGCCCACAATGCCTTGTGCGCCAGCGTGGATGTGTTTCCTTGTAACTTCAGACACTCGTGGAGGGCTTGTCTCTTAAGCTTGTTCATATTGTGCTGTGTATGAAAATTATTTGCAGATAATAAGGATAATGAAGTTACAGCTAAGTTGGTGAGCACATCTTTGTTGGAATAAGCCATGACTTGATGCGGTCGGGCATGTCGGGCGCGACGGATGCGCGCGGGACGTGCGGGACGTACTGGTGCAGTCGGGCTCGTCGGGTTTGTCGGGCGCGTCGGTGACACGCGGGACGGGCGGGACGTGCGGGACGCAGCAGCGTGGCATATGTGTGTGTCTGGGCATTGTATGACCCTCGTGCGTGTGTGCGTGCGTGCGTGTAGGAGTCTAGGTTGAGTCGGACTGTGGCTGAGCCTGCGGTCGTGTGGCAAGGCAGGCAGGATGCAGCGGTAGCACGATGGCACCAGGTCTTGCGGAGGAGCGGGCTGCTCACGTCCGAGGGAAGACCGGATCGCCATGGACTCCGTGAGCGCTACGTATTGGTAGCTAGAAAGCCGGCTGTACGTTGAGTCTGTTAGTGCGTGCGTGGGTGTTACGTTTCTGTTGGCTACAAAACGGCTGTAAAATCCTAGTCTGCTGGGGCGTTGGTTAGTCCGGTGCTTTGGAAAGGAAAAGTAACGGGGCTGTGAAGCCGGGTGAAACTCCAGTGTACCGTGTGCTCCTCCTTCTTCTACCTCTAGCTACGAGAGAGAGAGAGCTGCAACAACAATTGGTATACAGAGCTTCGGTTTGGGCGATCATCGGCGACCATGGCGCTCGTCCCACACGGTGGAAGCGCGGGCGGATCGGCGACGATGGCGATGCCGATGCTGACCGCGGACAACTACACGGTCTGGGCCATCAAAGCGCAGGCGATCCTCGACGTCCACACCGTATGGGAGGCGGTGGTGCCGGGCGACGCGGCGGTGAACGCCAAGAAGGACAAGATGGCGCGCGCGTTGCTCCTCGGGGCGTTGCCAGAGGATGTGCTGCTGCAGGTGTCGACGAAGCTCACCGCCAGGGAGGTATGGGACTCCCTGAAGGTGAGGTTCGTCGGCGCCGATCGGGTCCGCGCGGCGAGGCTGGGACGTTGCGCGGCGAATTCGACCGGATGAAGATGGCGGACGACGAGGAGCTCGACGTGTACGGCGGGAGGCTCGCGGCGATGGCGGCGAGGTATGCCAACCTCGGGGAGACGCTGGGCGACGCAGCACTTGTCAAGAAGTTGCTGGATACGGTGCCGGATCGCCTCTTCCCCGTCGTCGCCAGCATCGAGCAGTTCCACGACGTGACGACGATGGCGTTCGACGAAGCGCTCGGGCGGCTGCGTGCGTTCGACGAGCGGGTTCGGCGCCGTGGACAAGATGGCGGCGAGCGCGGGGGTGAGCAGCTGCTCATGACGGCGGCGCAGTGGGCAGCACGGGAGCGTCGACACGGCGGTGCTCGGGACGACGACGACGGGCGCAGCGTGGCGTCGGGGAGCGGCGGTAACAGGCGCAGGCGCTGCTACAAGTGCGGGGAGCACGGGCACTTCCGGCACGAGTGCCCGCAGCTGCGGAAAGGACCGGCGGCGGAGCAGTCCCTCTTGGCCGGTGCCAACGTCGACAACGACGGACTCCTCTAGGCCGTGGCTTAGGGGGTGTGTGTTGGAATAAGCCATGGCTTGATGCGGTCGGGCATGTCGGGCGCGACGGATGCGCGCGGGACGTGCGGGACGTACTGGTGCAGTCGGGCTCGTCGGGTTTGTCGGGCGCGTCGGTGACACGCGGGACGGGCGGGACGTGCGGGACGCAGCAGCGTGGCATATGTGTGTGTCTGGGCATTGTATGACCCTCGTGCGTGTGTGCGTGCGTGCGTGTAGGAGTCTAGGTTGAGTCGGACTGTGGCTGAGCCTGCGGTCGTGTGGCAAGGCAGGCAGGATGCAGCGGTAGCACGATGGCACCAGGTCTTGCGGAGGAGCGGGCTGCTCACGTCCGAGGGAAGACCGGATCGCCATGGACTCCGTGAGCGCTACGTATTGGTAGCTAGAAAGCCGGCTGTACGTTGAGTCTGTTAGTGCGTGCGTGGGTGTTACGTTTCTGTTGGCTACAAAACGGCTGTAAAATCCTAGTCTGCTGGGGCGTTGGTTAGTCCGGTGCTTTGGAAAGGAAAAGTAACGGGGCTGTGAAGCCGGGTGAAACTCCAGTGTACCGTGTGCTCCTCCTTCTTCTACCTCTAGCTACGAGAGAGAGAGAGCTGCAACAACAATCTTCACAAAAATAAATTGATAGGATGTTCACCTTCGTCAGGGGAAGCTTCAATTTTATGCCGTCGTAATGCCGTGTCATCGGCAACTTCTTCGACATCATGTCCCACATTAGCGGCAACCATCCTTCCTCCAGTGGAACAAGGGGGATGAACTGTATATATTGCGCAACATTTTGGAAGTTATAATTACTGTTCCATGCATGAATGTGTAGCAGGACGGAATTAACCAAGGTTGGATGTAATTACCATCTGCGAAGAAGTACACATCAGTCAATGACAGTACTACCTATATTATCACGTTCAAATGGTGGATCACTGAGACACTTACCACGAAGCATGGATCGAAAACCCCTCTCCATCTATCGAGCCACATGCGATACATCTTCATTTCTTGGCACTTATCATGCCATGGATGCACCTCCAGCCAGTCATTGATAACTCACCACCAAGTCCTAGTTCATCCTTCAGGTCTTGCTTGGACATCACCACCGCAAACGGATTGAAGTACCTAAACCATTTCCTAGCGAA